GTCTTGGGTATTATACTTCTCTCTATGAGTTTGTTCTTTCTTGTCTGCATGAATTAAAGATCCAGAGGAACACTGAGTGTGAGGAACAAAAGACTTCCTCTGTTTTATATGCAAATCACGATATTTCTCTCACCGTAACTATTTCACAGAAATGTACAGTATTTGTGCTGTACAATGATTCAGTAGAACAGTCCTATGAAGCTGAAATCAAACTATTGTCCAAGCCAATGGGGACATGCGTCTTGTAGCATGTGTATATGTTTCAGACGTTTTGAGAGACTAATCCACCAGATTGTTTGTCTTAAGAATTTGTGTGATAATATCTCAGGCTTTAAGTTCTGTGTCTGTGTATGCACTGTGGGGATATTATATGGATTAAATACCCACACTCATTAAAAAACAAAAAATCATAAGATAGGGACTTAAAACTTTTGATGCAAACATTCCTTTCTGACAGCAAAAACTGAAAGAACTGTATTGTCTTAGAGACTATTTGTATTTGATGTTAACAGACTAGCACAATGCATTATGCCTGGGATGTAAGTAATATGCACTTAGACACAGAGCCCCAGCCACACTGTGTGGACAGTATCCTTTAACGTGCAGCAATAACTCTGTTAGACTGCTGCATCTTATTGCCTCTCTTTTGCTCTGTATCCTCTCTTTCTCTCTCTTGCTCTTCCCATTGTCACTCTCTGTATACATTTCTTAAATGCTGCACTCGTGTGAGAGATGAAAGATGAGCACAAACACTGCAGGTCTCTTTAGAACTATTTACTTTGTACCATTCTGTCTCCCTCTGGTCTTGTTTGTCTGAGTGAAGCAAGATGTTGAAAATACTCCAGAAACATTTGATATGATGCAGTGCTACTGGACGACTTTTATCCATGCAGTAAAAAAAAACATGGTGTGATTCAAGAGTGGAGCCAAACTCTATCAGTATAAATGCAGGCATGGCCTCCACAGAGGACCTGCAACTTGGGTGAATGACTGCGAGAGCTGCTGTATGGCAGGATGAAGTGTGTTCATTTCCTTATTTATTGACTCACTTGCTTTTCTCTGAGTGTTTGAAATTAATAACAGCCAGCAGAAATCAGACAGAGGGATGAAAATCAGCACTTTCCCTGCAGTGAAGCCATTCATCAAGCTAACGAGGGGGAGAATAGGAGTGGAGGAGGAGAGGAGGGGAAAAGTGATGTTTGGAGAGGGAGCAGAGAGCGGGAGGAAAGCAGGTGCATTGTGAAGCGGAGGGAGGGAGGGAAAGTGATGCTGGGAATGGAGGCAAGGGGAAGGAAGCTAAGTTTGTTTGGGAGGGGGAGAGTCATTGCGAGGATAGCATGGCAGACAGGAGGAGGAGCTGTGTGTCACTCTAAAACACAGGTAGATATAGAAAGAAGACAAGTTTGACAGTGGAGTATAAATAGAAAAGGAGGAGAAAAACAGAGATGTTTCCTCAGGACTGAAAGTCTGAGGGATTGGGACAGAGATCAAGTCAGTACAGAAATGAATAAGGATGTATTTATGTGTTCAAGTATAAATACATGGACATTTATTCCATGCCTTTACTAATTGTAAATGAGTGGATCTTGTGACTGTATTGACTTTAACAGCCAGTGCCTATAGTGTCTCAGTTCTTTAGGCTTCCAGTCAACACAGACTACAAGCATCAGCTCTAACAGCAGTACTGCTTCCATGATGATGGGAATTGAGGCTGATACAATACAAAGCTCTAGCTCACTGTCCCCAAGAGTAGCATTTTACTCCTCTTGATTTCACTGATCGGTGATGATGGGCATGTCCTATCCTCAAAGCCTTCGTCCTTGTGATGGCTTGGTCCCATGCTGCTCCACCTCCCCAACAGTCCACCAGAACCCCAACAGCATCTCACACCTACAGCAAGGCTGACTAAGCACTTACTGAACCTCTCGTGTCAGAGCAAGGGAGGAGCGCCATGCTGAGTACTCTGCCACAGGAAAATAATTAGCAAAGTGGAGCTCTGCCCAAACACACTGGACTAAATCTAGTACTTTACATACAAAAGCCATAAATCAATTTCTGTCTTTCTTTCTTTTTGGTTTAAGTCTTTTTTATCCTTATACATTTGAAATTAAGCAGTTGTAGTGCTAATGCAGAATAGATCTAGATTCATTCCAATGAATGCAGCGACCAGAATGTATATACAGTCTTCTGTGATGAAAAAGTGCCCAGTGAAAGCTACAAACTGCTTTGCTCTCTTTCCTCTGCTTGGTGCCTTGTGGTGACGCAAACTGTGCCCATCTCACTGTACATGGATATCTGTATTTTTAACTTTAACGTTAGACCACAGTGTCTTTGGTCACCAAAGCTAAATATAGCCAGCTCCTCCTGAGCAGTCTCCAGTTTCTCACTCCTTAGCAAGAGGCAGGTGGAGCAGAGAGGAGGAGGGGGAAAGGAGGGATAACACCCCGTCTTGAATAAATCATCCCTTGACTTCTGACCCATATGGAGCAGGAGGTTGTTTTTGTACTTCTGCACTGCCCCCTTCTCTCTCTGGCCTCTGCACCCCTCCTCTATCCAATTCATTTTCTCCTCCAGATGACAGGTCAATCTGGATCGATTTCATCTGCCCTCAGTGACTGAGACCAACATCCTGGCACCCTGAAATAGAGCTCTGTGTGACAGAAGAACCTCCGACCAGTCGTAACACACAGCTCTGAGAGGGGGTAAGCAAGAAAGGATGGGAGAACAAAATTATTTTGGAAACATTCACAAGAACAACTGAATTGCACAGATAAATACTGTCACATAAAGAAGCAGAAGACGCTTGTGAAGATGGAAAATGGATTATCGTGACTCTGTGGTGTGTGGATAACACTGCTTCAGCCGGTTTTACTCGAGCTGCCCTGACATATGCCGATTTCATAGTTGGAGGCCTTACCTACTTTGTGCTATTGTGGCCAGAGCCACATGTACAGATTCACAAACGCACATAAGCCTTACCCAGTCTTTATTTGCACTGTCTTTCTCACAGCTTCTTTCACACACTTATACTGCATATATCCACACCTGGCATTTTATCTTTGTCAGCATAATCTGGGTCCTTCAACTCCCTGCTGGGCTCTGAACCCTAGTGTGTCTTTGCATGGTGAACCACTGAGGTGTGTGCCTTCGTAACACACACAGCGCTCGCAGGTGAGACACACCAGCAGTCTCATATAATGTTAAACTCGCTTCATCTCCTTGCCAACTCCACATCTCGCTAAGTAAATACATTTGTGCCTATAAAAGTATTTTTCTCTTGCAATGGTGGTGCAGCAATGCAGTGACACAGTGTCCTGGTGGTTCTAG